ACTTTCAAGTGATAACTTTCGTTTGCCTGGTAGTTTTATTTAATCAGGAAATGGGAGTCCCTCAAGGAAGAATTTGAATTATCAGTTACTCTTTCCAGTGTTAAGATAAATAGCCTTCCCAAAGTTTTGTCTGGTGGGTCGTTGTTGGTTAATGACTTTAATATTTCCTGCCGTACTAGGATGCACACTACTGAGAGACAATTGCAGATTTATCTGAACAAAATGCTCAAGTGGTCACTGCAAAACGGTTGTTAGTTTTCCAAAGCCAAAACATGTTGTCTTCATTTTTGTAATAAACGCAAAATACAGTTATTTTTAGATGAAACTCTAATCAAAGTGGCCATACAGACCAAAGTTTTGGGAATAATCTTTGACAGTAAATTATCCTTAATACCCTAATATTAAAGATATGAATAGTCACTTTGCTTAAACACTCTGGATATACTAAAGGTGGTTTCAAATGCTAAATGGGGTGGAGACCAACAAACTCTACTCTATCTTTACAGAACATGAATTAGATCAAAACTTGATGGTGGCTGTTTTATATACGGTTCAGCCCGTAAATCCTTTATTCAAGAGCTTGACACCATTCATCATCAAGGTCTCATATTATGTGTGGGCGCATTTAGAATTTCCCCTGTTGAAAGCCTCTATGTTGAAGCCAATGAGCCTTGTCTTCAGATAAAACGGTTAAAACTGGCACTACAATATGTTACTAAAGTCCATTTCACTCCATCTAATGCTACATCGAACGCTGTTTTTATTTCTCTTAATGAAGCCCTGTACGATAGGAAACCTGACCCAATTGCTCTACTTGGAATCCGTATTCAACAACATATTGCAGAAGCAAACTTAATATAAATGTATCAGTTTTTTTCTGCATTTGCCGATTTTAAACTACCTGAGGTGACATATTGGCAATCAATACAGCCTGATGTAAATTTGGACTTAACCAAATTGAAAAGGGCTGATACAAACCTTTTATCGTATCAACAGGTTTTTCTGGAAATTAAACATCAATATGTCCATCATACAACTATATTCAACGATGGATGAAAGGACGGAGACAAAGCATCAGCTGCAGCCGTTACTCATGATGATACACTATCATTTCGATCAACAAATGGCAGTTCCATCGTTACGGCAGAGGCAAAGGCTATGCTATTAGCTCTACAATTTATTAAACGCTCTAAGAAAACCAGATTCATAATATTTTCAGATACTCTGTCCTGCTTGAATGCAATCAACAATCGAAAAATTTATCATCGCAGTTTAGCTAAATTTTTTAAATATTATTTAATTTTACATGTGGCTGACATTGGCATCTTGTTCTGTTGGATACCAAATGCATGTTGGCATTGAGGGAAATTCTAAGGCTGATTCTGCTTTGGAAAAGTCGATGTCGAGCAATACTTTCCCTTACACTGACCTTAAACCAGGTATTAGGCAAAACGTCAAAAACATGAGGCTGAAAAGATGGATCAAGCATATATCAAATAAGCTTCATACCATACAGCCCGTGATAGGCTGCCATACCTTTCCGATCTAAATCGTCAAAACCATTGGACACTCTGTTATACTCAGTCATTTATAAATTCACGGGAGAGGGGCAGTTGGTTAGCCTAGTGGTTAAAGCGTTCGTTCGCCATGCCGAAGACCCGGGTTCGACTCCCCACATGGGTACAATGTGTGAAGCCCATTTCTGGTGTCCCCCTGCCGTGATATTGCTGGAATACTGCTAAAAGCGGCGTAAAGCCAAACTTACTCACTCACTCATTATTGAAGGGAGATGATCCCCCTCAATGTATCAATGTATTCCGTGTCACAGTCCTTTGACGGTCAAGCACCTGTTGTTGGAATGTATTGATTTTCACTCATTCGCCAACGATTTGATACTGGTCAAACTAATTCGGAACTTTTCAATACCGTTTCTTATCATTTAGTTTTAGTATATTTAAACTACATATATATGAACACATGTGATTTTAACATCTGTATATCATAGTTTTACTGTTTACTGTGATATAGACTGAAGTTTTAGTGATCTTCGTCATCACTTTTATTGCATATTCATTTCCATAGGAAAACATTATTTTCTATCAGCGAATAGCTGTAAAATGGCTGAGGCTTTAAGCAGCATTTACTCACTACCTCGCCATCCTGAACTGCTCCCGTGAAAACCGCTTTACCTGTTGGGATATCATGATACACAGATTTTAAAACATTTATCTCAGGGCGGTAGATAAAGTTAAAACATGCGGGAGGGAAATTCATCCCGTGTCATTACTTTGTGTAATAATGATAATAATAGTCCATTTATCATGCGCATTTCTCCATGCACAATGCATGCACAAAGCGCCCAAACATATCTCATTATTATTACCCCGGATAACACAAGCTGCCTGTGAGGCGCTAGGTTAGTGGTTACATGACTTATCCCACCGGGTACCCATTTACTGCTGGGTGAACATGGCAGGACTTATGTCATTACTTTCTATATGTACCACTTCACACTACAGAAGTCCGCCTGTTACAGAGGCCGGTGTGTATTGGAGGTTCGGAGTCTAACAGAGGAAATACGGTATATGAAACAGAGGACATTGTTTTATTTACAGTGATTGCTTTGTAAACAGCGACCCGGCACGAACACTCGTGTGTTGTCAACAATCTAAAACATAGCGCTAGGTCACTTGACACGGAGGGGTAAGGATGCAGTATTGGGTTGTGGATACGGCATTGTCACGTGTCACATAGTAGAAACACGTACGTGACACAGTGCCAAGACCCACGTGCTGCGTGTCACACCCGGTTCCTGCTGGGCTGGGTTGAGTTGGGCATGGGATGAACACAGGTGGACACAGAATTCATTCATTTATTTAGAATCTACTTGATTTACCCTTAAAAAGGGGCGGTCAGACTGTTCTCGTGTCTAACCACTCACTGCCACACGATTTACGTTTACTTATTCAAATACGAAAGAGTAAGAGAAAAAAACACTTACGATCAGATATACGAATTTTCTGTGTTATATACAAACTCCTCCCAGTGTCACCTGAACCTCGTCTGTGTGGAGTTGGTCGCCGCCCGCACTTGTGAGGAGCTGTCACCCTGTGAGTAGCCTGAGCGTTAATGTTTCTGAATTAGAGGTGAATGTGGATCTCTTGTGAGCTCCTTTCTGGTTGCCCCTTAATACACATACACCCAAGTAGACTTGCCCAGTCTCCAAGGTTTAAATGATAATTTCCTAAAAATAATAAATAAGAGACTTGGGTCACTTGTACCGTCCGCTTATCTAGACTTGCCTCTTCGAAGGATAGACTTACTATACATCCATGGGCTCAGTATTCAGTATAGACTTGCACAAGTCTCTAAGGTAAAAATTAATAGTTTATATGAACATTTGTAAATTTAATATAATAAATAACAGACTGATGTCCTTGGTTCAGCATACAGTAGAGCCTAGTCTGTCTCACAGTCCCTGAACCACATTATTTTCCCTACTGCCAAGCCCTCCCTGTAGTGCTAAAGCCCTAAATAAAGCAAGTCTAGATTTCCTCAGGTTCTGAATCTCTGGTCTCCCTAGGGCTCCTTTTCAATATAAATGGGCTTGTTTGTTACTATCAAAATTATATATATTCAGAGACTTAGCCTTAGTCTAAGTAGAGCCTTAAATTGGAGCATGGCTACATTCAGTACAGCCTTGGAGCAAGGCTAACCTCCAAGCCGCTCGAGACAACACCAGCTGAGCCCTGTCTGGCATATCGCACTATCCGCAAGTTGGCGCTCGGAAAGGGAGCCGGGAACCAGCTTAGTGACAACACTGCTTCAGATTGTTGTCCAGAGCCACCTTCTGGTCTCACTGCTCTTGCTTCAGCCGGTTGCAGGCACGAGCGGGAATCAGTCTAATACAGCTTCTCCACACGACCACACAACTTGTCACAGTAGACAGTGTATCGCGGATACCACACGAAAACGTCTCACGATGGCAAACATGATCGGCGACTGGAAACTGGTGCCCGAACTGACCACTGGCCATGATGAGTATGCTAAGGCACTAGGTAAGTGTGACACTTAAACAACTAAGGAATCAACGTTGATATATACACCAAGATATTCACGTTTCGTTTTAATATTCAACAAACTATTTTAGTATTACCCTTCGTTCCGGCCTTGCCCGATTTCTAGGCCAGTATTGCGTAATCAAACAGCTGACAACGATGTCTCAGTGTTGTGAAATAGTCATAGTTTGCGACGCCCCCACGTGGTGACCCCGGGGTGTCTCCCTGTGTAATACCTAGCAGTGTTTATACTGACATAGCTAGATAACCTACATATAGCCCTAGATACGTGATAAAGATGTATAAGCAATGAAGAGACGGCACCTGATCAAAGTTTACCCCAGTTATTTAAGGATATCATGTATGTTATGATAGATCTGTATGTTCATGTACAGCAAATTATTATTCACAACATGCACTTGACAATGGAATAAGTGAGTGAGCGAGTTTGGTTTTACGTCGCTTTTAGCAATATTCCAGCAATATCACAGCGGGGGGACACCAGAAATTGGCTCCACACATTGTACCCATGTGGGGAATCTAACTCGGGTCTTCGGCGTGACGAGCGACCGCTTTAACCACTTAGGCTACCCCACCGCTCCTACAATGGTATTAGAATCTGTACCGAAACGTCGCATCATATATGATAAAGAAGTTGTCATCCATTAAGTATCTTACTTTATTACCCACGTGGTCAATGTATGGGTAGTTGCATACTAATCTCGTACGTCACACGAGTGTCGTATCGCGTTGACCTGTGTCGTAACGAATTGACCTGAGATTCTAACGATTTGATTGGATAACCGATGACCTCTCAAATAGGTCACATTCTGACGTAACTATTTTTTTCATTCATGACAAACACGTGAATTCATTCATTCTACAACTTAAATGCATTGTTGGAATGTAAACATTGCGAACGTTTGCCGTGTCGCTGTTTAATTGTGAGTCGAACTGAGACATTATATCCGTCGAAAAACATAAGTGCAATGTTTCCACCAATGATCTTAGCCGAATGAAGCAACTGCAAACCAAGAAACGGGGTGCTACGGCGTAGTTTACTGAGGAGGCTGTACGAGGCGATGACAACTGACATGCATCGTGACATCGGTTACCAAGGCAGTGACGTCATTACAGTGTGACGTCATGCAAATATTGTACTACAGTACAAAACTCTTCCGCAACCTCTTTATAAAACCGGTTTCGGTTTGAAACGATAAAAATATCAAAAATACGCTATTTTGTCAATGTAAGACGTGGGTAATAAATAAAATACCACACTCGGTCTCATAACATACGAATTATACAAAACTCGTGACCTTCCTATGGTATCTGACCTCGCTTTCGCTCGGTCAGATACCATAGGAAGGACACTCGTTTCGTATAACTCGTATGTAATGAGACCTCGTGTAGTATTCTCTATTTATCATACAAAACTGTGTTCCACAGGAGATATTGCTTGTGTGAGATCAAACGAGATCTCGATATCCTTTTGACAGTAAATTTTGTACAATGCCGAGACATGCTATGACGTCATGAACTTGGTGACGTCACAATGCTATGACATCGCTGCACTGCAGTTCTTATGGCAGTACCGTGCTTAGAGATGTACATATTTCATTGAAAACTAATGAAGAGTGATTTCTGATGATAAATAAAATCTCACCCTCGTGTCTTCTGATGTCAAATATATCAACACTCGTTGATAAAAGTAAAAATACCCTCTGCAAGCCTCGGATATATGAACTTTATCAACTCGTGGTGATATATTTGATATGAAAAGACACTCGGGTGAGATTCTCTATCTCTATTCTTATCACTCACCAACTTACAAAATGCTAACAACAGATCATGTACTTACACTTTGAATTAGTGCCAGCGGAGGGAACAAATGATGCACCTCCTCTTGAGTGATTGAGTTTAGTTTTACGCCGCTTTTAGCAATATTCCAACATCACGGCGGGAGACACCAGAACTGGGTTTCATACATTGAACCCATGTGGTGAATGAAACCCGGAACTTCGGCGTGACACTTTAACCACCACCCTTTCTCTTGAGTGGGGAGGACCGTCGTCTGAGGCGCCGCAATTCGCGTTGTATGGGCAGACAAGCTATTCCCTTTGAAGAGGTCGGACAAGATATTCCCTTGAAGAGGTCGGACAAGCTTTGAAGAGTTAGCTCCGACACGCTCGAAACCTATGATAGGTGGTTGCCATGTTTATATTCCTAGTTTTGTCAGCACCATGTGGTAACCATCTAACACTTCCATTACTTCCTCCCATGTCAAGCTTACACGTCGTACTGTACCTATAACACTGATGAAAGCGGCGTGAAACCAAACTCACTGGCTTCTCCTGCATCTCCTGGGTCGAAATATTCAAATTCTGATATCGCTAACATCACTTTCTTCTTTCTGTCCAGGGGGCGCTGGGGTAGCCTAGTGGTTAAAGCATTCGCTCGTCACGCCGAAGACCCGAGTTCGATTCCCCACATGGATACAATATGTGAAGCCCATTTCTGGTGCCCTCCTATATTGCTGGAATATTGCTAAAAGTGGCTTAAAACGATACTCACTCACTCTTTCAGGCCCAAAGCTGTGGATTGACCCCTGATAAGCCGTGTGAATAAAATGTGGTAGTTCCATCTTTGATAAAAGTACATGCATCCAGAGATGCGATCTTACAGACTACGTTACCTGTACATACTATTTCCCTAACCAAATGAAGAAAACGAACACACACTTAACGCCCACCTGTATACATGTACCGTCAATGTAAGTCTTTACTCCCGCTATACCACAACGGCCTTTGAACATCAAGTCATAAGCGCACAATCCTGTGTCAATATAAGGTGTTTACTGATTTTCTTAGATTCTCACACCTTGTGTGCATGTTTTCTCCGAGACGTGAAAATTTGGTTCTGGGAGTTATACCAAGGATCAAGCCACAGCTTCAGGATCCTCCATTTATCCGGTTCAAAGATTATGTCGGGCGGACAAATGACGGACGGACTACACACCTTGTACAATCTTCGTGTACTGACCCTTAAATTTTGAAAGAAAATATACAATATTCGGTTTGCTGTTCCAGGTATGACGGACACGGAACGCGAGGCAACTCGCAACCTGGTGTACACCTTGCATTTGTCACGTGACGGCGAGGTGTGGCACATGAAGGTCGATCTTGAAGATGGAAGCGTGTTTATGGACGTCAAGTTCACGATGGGAGTTCCCTTCCACTTTCTGAGTTTCGACAAGGTCACTAAAATGACGGTGGGAATGTTTCTTGTTTTGTGTGATGTTTTCATGATGGGTGCATGTGGTTTTATGTCGCTGTCAGCATCGCTAGAGTAACATCACGGCATGGACAACCACCACCTCGTATGTTGCGCTCATACGGACATCGTCATGACTATGTTAGGGGTGTCAGTGCTAACAGAGTACAGGGTTCGGGTTCATTGCTTATATATAACACGACATTTATAGATAGCTGCCGTTCTGGTTCTATGAAATATGTCGATAAGGTACAAAATATGTTTAGTTAAACATTGCTGTAAGGGAGATAACTCCATTTATTTTTTTAGCGGTATGCGAGGTGAGCATGTCGCCGGAAAATGGGGAATATCGGCGTTTTGAAGGACGTTTGGAAGGTTGTAAGTGTTTCAGGAATAAAAGGCTCAACTGCACAGTTCAATCGGTCAAATTATAACAATATATTTCATCAACAGGATTAGGACTGTGACCTCAGAAAGTATGAAAGCATGTGTTTGCTTATGCGTACGTATGCTTGCGCGTGTGCGTGTGAGCTTGCGTATGTCTTTGCGTGCGTGTATATATGTGTGCTGTAATCGCGTGTGACGTCTACAAAACATTGTCGACTCGTCGTTTCAGGGTGGGAAACTCATGCATGTGACTAACACTACAACCAAGGATGGCCAGTCACGTGTTTTTTATGTACGTTGTAATAAAGGTATTGAATTTCATTTTTTAACAGAGTATCATCACACTACAGAACGATCACTTCGTTGAGAAGCTGACGTCGGACAAAGAAGGTGTGATCATGCAACTGGACGTAGACACGTATCGAGACGGGGACTTCGTCGTTACGGTGAGTGAGGGAGTGTTTGCTGGATAACGCCGCTCTCTGCAATAGTGCAGCTCACGTCGGTCTGTAAAGTTTCAAGTCCGGACCAGACAATCCCGGGATTAACATCATGAGCATTGATCTACGCAATTGGGTCACGACATGCATGAACCAAATCAGCGAGCCTGACCCCTGATCCCGATTGTTGCCTCTTCTGACAATCAGGGGTTGATGGAGACCAATTCTGACCCGGATCTTCACTGCTAAAGCGAGTTAAAGTGCATATCAGTGAGTGAGTGAGTTAATCAATCAGTACATGAAATACCTTAGCAGTTTAGAAATAAAGACTCCATCATTTCCAAAATGCTAAGATACATCCTGGTGAAGTGTACCAGCGTGTACCAGGTGTACTCTCTACTGTTTGTATCTCTTTCTCCCCAGGCACAGACCAAGGATGGCAAGACCGAGACCCAGTGGCTAAGAAAACTCTGACCAGCATCCCACACAAGCGACTGATTTTATTCTAACAATATGTCACTACGAAACATGTGCACACCCATGATTGCCTCAGTTTGACACAGAAAGAAAACTGTCTAATACGGACTCTAACTTTTCAAGATGTATACAGTCCTGAACGAATTATGTTAACTTAAAGAGGAGCCTATTTAATCCAGACACTGACTATACCGGATATATGTCACCTTGTTTATTCACTGCAAATTTAGAGTTTATAAGCACATTATTTCAGGTAACTTAAAAAGGAACCTTATCTATTCCAGACTCTGACCATTACGGATTTATGTCAGCTTCTTTATTCACATTAGTTCAACATTGTTGCTACTATGTTTGTTTTCTTTGTTGATGCATGATGCGTGTACAATGCAGTATTTTGTAACAATGTAATATTGAGATTGATTATACTGTACCAAATGATATTTGGATAAGACGTAAACTTCTTTGGAGTTTATTTTTATTATTATTAATATTGAATTTGAAGGTGGAAAAATGTGGATTATCATATTTTAGACAAAAAAACATTGTCGTGCTCTTTGTTCAATGTTTTCTCAACTTTTACAGATTTAGATTTTTAGATATTTATTCTAACAAACCGCCATATAGCTGGAATATTGCTGAGTGTGGCGTAAAACTAAACTCACTCACTAACAAAAGGTTAGCAACCAATATTTCAACGTGTGTAAACAATATATAAGTATTTTTTATAAATTAATACATCCATGTTATTTTGATAATTTTCCGCATTTTTAAAAACACGAACTTTAGTTTTATTTAGTCTGACGGACAGTTATCAAAACATTTCCTAAATTTTCTGTTTCATCTGAATAAGACTCTATGTCATTGTTATATTTTCAGAATACGTTTAGTTACATAAATAGAAGAACAATTGAAGCAATTTCATAACAATGTTGTTTCATTTAGACAGAGCTTCTCCTGTTTAAGGACCCGTGAAATTCCGGGTTAGAATGAACCTTCAGTAACCCATGCTTGTCGTAAGAGGCTACTAACGGGATCGGGTGATCAGGCTCGCTGGCTTCGTTGACACATGTCATCGGTTCCCAACTGCGCAGATCGATGCTCATGCTGTTGATCACTGGATTGTCTGGTCCCGACTCAATTATTTACAGACCGTCGCCATACAGCTGGAATATTGCTGAGTGCGACGTAAAGCTAAACTCACTCACTCGCTTCTCCTGTTTTAGACTCTAGACTCTGGCCACTCTGTTGATCGGGATGATTAGTGGGACGATCTCATTTAAATCAAATATTATACTCCGATAAAGAGAGGTACCGTGTGCAGGAAGGAACATTTAAAATGTGGAAATAAACATTGTGAATATTCTATGTCCGCTTCAGTTACTTTTGTCCGCAACATTCAATCGAATATAGTCACGATCCGCTTCAACATGTATGTTTACAACTCAACATGTCCATATTACATGTGCGTCAATCACACGTCGCCATCTACTCGTATAAATGATCATGTATAATATAATACCACGTAAATAATGAATCCTGAATCGTTGAGGAAGGGATGTTGAATCTTATTGCTGTGCTATCATGTGATCATGAGTGCCTTTATTAGGCATGGTGCCATCAAGATGAGCTATCATGTGATCATGAGTGCCTTTATAAGGCATGGTGCCATCAAGATGAGCTATCATGTGATCATGAGTGCCTTTATTAGGCATGGTGCCATCAAGATGAGCTATCATGTGATCATGAGTGCCTTTATTAGGCATGGTGCCATCAAGATGAGCTATCATGTGATCATGAGTGCCTTTATTAGGCATGGTGCCATCAAGATGTGCTATCATGTGATCATGAGTGCCTTTATTAGGCGTGGTGCCATCAAGATGTGCTGATGACTGGTTGCCATCATCTAATATCTTCCGTTACAAGTTTCCAGCAGAGCCAGACTGTTCGTTGGTTTCACAAACGTGGTGAATATCATGTACCGTGGCGGGGTAGACGAGCGGTTAAAGCATTCGCTCGTCAGGCCGAATTCCGAAGACCCGGTTCGATTTCCCACTTGGGCACCAAGCCCTGTGATATTTCTGGTGCCCCCGCCGTGTGAATATTACTGCGGCGTAAAACCAAACTCATTTACTCACTCACTCACCCATGGCTGCGAGAGAGGTTGTTCATCATATCAGTCACTTGTTTGCTGACTCTGTTTGCGGGTGATTATGTGCCTTACACCGATAGTGTAGCTTCGAATATCGGTAATATTCCTCTGGAACCCAGCTGTTTAACGTCTTAGGGTGACACGTCCATTTAACAAAGACTTCCATTTGACCCGCTCTTTCAGTTCTTGAGTATTTTGTCTACAAACCGTCAGCAGGTTAGTCTACCCATGTCATTCATTTTCACGAAAACTGCCTTGTATTGGGTCGTTGGCCAAATCTTTCAATAGATAAACTTGTATTCCATCTCTGTACTGTCGTTTCGATTATGAAAATTTTTTCAGTTCATATTTCTTGATAGCCCCTTGAAAGATGTACCTCAAGTGTGATATTCTCACTTGATCAAGTATTCTTAGTCTGTTTAAGTCGAGATTCCAGATCACAAAATTTCTTCAATGTGTCATTATATAGTTCTTCCTATACAAGGGCGGTGGGGTAGCCTAATGGTTAAGCGTCTTCTCGTTTGGATGAAGGTCCGGGTTCGATTCCCCACATGGGTACAATGTGTGAAGCCCATTTTAGGTGTCCCCCGCCGTGATATTGCTGGAATATTGCTACAAGCGGCATACAACTAAACTCACTCTTTACACGCGTGGACTTAGTTGTTTTTCGTTAATACCTGAAGGGGAGTTCCATTAATTATCTATGTGGCCTGTTGTTGTAATCCAAATCATGTAAGATATCCCGGTAGTGGTATGTTTGTTTGTAAGTGAACATCTGTACATGACTAGTCCCAGAGTGTTAATGAAAGAATGAATATTGGAAGAGCATAAACTGCTTTGGTTTCATTCTGTGTGGCATACTACATGTAACAACGTATCTCACTTTCTTGGTGTGAACTTGCGACTTTTGTTAGATTTAATGGTGGGTCAATATTTACTACAGGGCACCAATAACGAACTCGGGTGCTTTATGTTTCAAAGGCGAACCCATAGAAAGCGTTTTAATTCATAGACCGCAATAAATATAGACACAGAACTTAGTTAAGCACACACACACACACACACACTGACACTCCCTTTTTTGACAGACTCTAAAGAGAAGCTGGTTGTGTACGCTTGAAATACATATATGCTATGCAATTATTCTTTTCATCCTTAGGTAGGCATGTTGAACATGGAGGTGATGTACATATACATTTCATTGATATTCCTATCAATCTGTCAACCGTGAAGATCCGGGTCACCCATGCATGTCGAACGAGGCGACTAACGGGATCGGGTGGTCAGGCTCGCTGACTTGGTTGACACATGTCATTGCATCCCAATTGCGTAGATCGATGCTATGCTGTTGATCACTGGCTTATCTGGTCCAGACTCGATTATTTTCGGACCGGCGCCATATAGCTGGAGTATCGCTGAGTGCGGCGTAAGATTAAACTCAGTTTTATTCACATATCCAACAGTCACATATCTACTACACAATCTCGCTAACTGACCCAATTTCAGCCTGGTTGTGTCACATCTGATTTCCCTGGCTAAACATAGACTCGGTATTGCACCACAGCTTGACACGAGAACCTGCTGTATGCTTTAAATGGGCGCTGATCTATTTCTTTAAGCGCATCAAAAGAGGAACCATTTGTTGTGTTCCAAAGGAACAGAGGATCAGAGGATTAAACGATAATATTTTGATTGAATAATAAATGTATTCGGATGTCAAAAGTTAGTATTAATGTATTTTTACTTACGCAGACGGGGCGGTGGGGTAGCCATGTGGTTAAAGTGGTCGCTCGTCACGCCGAAAATCCGGGTTCAATTCCTCACATGGATACATTGTGTGAAGCCCATTTCTGGGGTTCCCCGCCGTGATATTGCTGGATTATTGGATTAGAAGCGGCGTAAAACCAAACTCATTCACTCACTACTTACGCAGACAGAATACACCCACTGGTCTCACGCCGCTTTTAAGATCAAATAACTGAAAATACCGCTGCAGTTCGTAGACTCTTGTGAGTTTTGTTTTGACAGTCCAGAGTACAAATCGTGAATCTGCACTCATTACATCCGGGTCTGATATGTCTGAGTGCCGTTGCCAATGTCGGATTAAAACTGACAAATATTTTTTATCTGAACAATCTGTACATTTGAAACCCATGCGTTGTATTGATGTTCTCAACATATTTATATTTTTACAAACACAAATGACAGTGTAAGGAAACGGCTGTCACGGACGTCCACACACACCCTCCTGCACCTGCATGTGCAAGAGCACCTGCCAGTGCACCTCCTGCAGCTCGTCCAGCCAGTTAACAATAATCATCCCTCCTCTCGGATACATACATTAAGTGTGCATCCTTCCACCTGACCGTAGGAATGGTTTTTAAGAATTTGTCAGCGAGTTCGTTTCTTGAATGTTTCAAAGCCCAAGCGGTATTTTATCCGCTCGTCTCAAAAACTTCCTGCCTATATAAAGTAAATACATGCTTAATTATAGTCAGAAGGGTAGTTAACTCTCTTGATGTCATGACGTTGGGCGAATTTACTCGCCCTGGGCTGTCAGTGCACTGACCAGACACGACTAGGGTCACTCGGTGCTTTGTTCACCACAGGGGGAAGATATTATACATTTTAATTGATTTACATTTTGTGAGCATGAAGATTTTCATGTTTTAAAAGCCTTTGAAAGTTTTTCCGATTAACATACGTGATTTTATTAACTTGAGTAGGTTAGATGAACTGAAAGTCAAGACAATTTGCCTCAATGTAAACTCATTGGATATTTAATACTGAGTTGTTATTTATAGAATCACGAAGCATGAAAACCACGAGAAAGCATGAAAGCAGAAACATTAATAAACTTCAACCATACCGGTAATTACTGTCTACTCAATCAAGGCCCTAAATCTTGCTGTTTATGGATTCTCGGCCTTAAGTCTTACTGCTTCTCAAGGACCGAAGTCTTACTGACCACGGGCTGTAATCGTAAGCCTTACTGTCGGCGACCGTACCTCCTATACATAAGCGCTAAGGCAACCGAAACTACTATACATGTACTAAGGCGACCTTCACCCCATTAAACAAGTGTTAGTTAAGACGACCAGAACTCCTATACATCAGCTCTACGAAGACCAAAACTATTCTAAATAAGCCATAAGACCCGTACAGCAATTCATAAACACTAGATGACCGAAACCCCTATGTACAAGCGCTAAGACGACGCTTACTCCTATACATTAGCGCTAAGACGACGCTTACTCCTATACATTAGCGCTAAGACGACCCTTACTCCTATACACATGCCCTAAGACGACCCTTACTCCTGTACATTACCGCTAAGACGTCGCTTACTCCTATACATTAGCGCTAAGACGACGCTTACTCCTATACATTAGCGCTAAGACGACGCTTACTCCTATACATTAGCGCTAAGACGACACTGACTCCTCTACATTAGCGCTAAGACGACCCTTACTCCTATACATTAGCGCTAAGACGACCCTACTCCTATACATTAGCGCTAAGACGACCCTTACTCCTATACACATGCCCTAAGACGACCCTTACTCCTGTACATTACCGCTAAGACGACGCTTACTCCTATACATTAGCGCTAAGACGACGCTTACTCCTATACATTAGCGCTAAGACGACGCTTACTCCTATACATTAGCGCTAAGACGACACTGACTCCTCTACATTAGCGCTAAGACGACGCTTACTCTTATACATTAGCACTAAGACGACCCTTACTCCTATACATTAGCGCTAAGACGACACTTACTGCTCTACATTAGCGCTAAGACGACCCTTACTCCTATACATTAGCGTTAAGACGACCCTTACTCCTATACATTAGCGCTAAGACGACCCTTACTCCTATACATTAGCGCTAAGACGACCCTTACTCCTCTACATTAGCGCTAAGACGACCCTTACTCCTCTACATATGCCCTAAGACGACGCTTACTCCTATACATTAGCGCTAAGACGACGCTTACTCCTCTACATTAGCATTAAGACGACCCTTACTCCTATACATTAGCGCTAAGACGACCCTTACTCCTCTACATTAGCGCTAAGACGACCCTTACTCCTCTACATTAGCGCTAAGACGACCCTTTCTCCTATACATTAGCGCTAAGACGACCCTTACTCCTCTACACATGCCCTAAGACGACCGTCATTCGTACACATAAGCACAAAGTGAGTGAATGAG